TTCCTCAGGGGCAGAACCGGTGTGTGTGTGTGTCCATGTGCTGAAGGAACTCTGCAGTATCTCGCCGAGTCTAATGTCGTGTTTATTTCTGTGTTTTGTAGTTCCCAGTACAGTGAAGAACATCCACATCAGTAACGAAGGTCAGAGCAGCAGTCTGCGGGTCAGCTGGACACCGGGGCAGGGTGATGTGGACCGATACACTGTGTCTCTGTCTCCGGGCCAGGAGAGATTCGTCCCCAAACACGTCAACGAGGTCAGCTTCCAGCATCTGCAGCCCGGACAGCAGTACAACATCACTGTTACGTCAATCAGCGGATCTCTGATCAACAACAGCACAGCAACAGGACGAACAGGTCAGATGAGGCATTTTATTAAACCCAGAGTCAGTCAGGTAACCCAGAAATGAAGGTCATTAATTCCTCTCTCTTATGTCGTTCTCCTGTGAGTTTCGTTCTTCTCCATCTAACCCTGTGCAGGTGTTTATCTCCAAACTCAGGCGTGTTATAATAATCAGAAGTTTCCCCTGTTGATTCTGCAGTTCCCTCTCCCGTGTCGGCTCTACAGCTGGAGGAGCAGCGCAGCACCTCCACCCTCTCGGTGTTTTGGCAGGCGGGTCAAGGAGTGTTCGACAGCTTTCGTCTGCAGCTGCTGGATGAGAGAGGAACACTGGTGTCCAACATCTCCACAGCGGCACAGGCCATTCAGCACACCTTCACACACCTCACACCAGGGAAACCCTACCGCGTCCTGATCCGGGCCCTCAGCGGAGGAGTCAGCAGCAATGATGTGGAGGTCGAGGGCAGAACCTGTGTGTACACGTCTCTATCCCATATTTACCCTGTGTTAGTCAAGCGACCTGTTACAGCGTCTGAATGTGTTTCCTGCAGGTCCGGCGACTGTCAGTGACTTGTCCGTGATCAGCAACACCACCACCAGCCTGTCGTTCCGCTGGGCTCCGCCGGTCGGAGAGTTTGATGGATTTGATGTTCTTCTGTATGATGAAGATGAAAGATTGCTTGATCAGAAATCAGGAGTCATGCAGGACTGCTCCTTCCTGAACCTTCGACCTGGGCTGCTGTATAAAGTGCTGATCTTCACCCGCAGTGGAGATCAAACCAACAGCACGTCTATCTGGGCCCGCACAGGTGAACGATGCACACCAGCGTACACCATATTGACCTGTATAGTCTAATAGCGATGTAGTGAAATGTCTGGCTCAGTCACAGCGATGAAACAACAAACGCACGCAAATATTGATCAGAGTCTTACTAGTTTTGTTGTTGGTTGGGTTGTGTAGTTCCTGCAGCGGTGACGTTCCTGCACGCCGACAGCAGACGGAGCTCTGAGAGTCTGTGGCTGAGCTGGAAGCAGCCCGCGGGGGCTGTGAGCAGCTACACCCTCCTGATCCTCAACCCTGATGGGACCCGGACTGCAGAGCAAAGCCTGGGGCCCGACAGCCGGAGCCATCAGTTCCAGAGCCTGGTGTCGGGACGCCTCTACCAGGCTGTGGTTCTTACACACAGTGGAGATCTCACCAACATGGCAACCACCAGCGACAGGACAGGTACATGTCTCCAGTAAATCACAAACACAAGATAAAAATGCTGTGTTGAGTAGGTGTCAGAGATGGGGAACAGTGGTGCAGCTTCCTTTATCATAACAGCAGAATCTTGAATTACTGATTTTAATAACTGTACCATGTATATTGTGTAGACCCCAAGCCTCCAGTCTCATTCTCCTTTGGGGAAATCACCAACACCTCATTGGAGATCACCTGGAGCGCTCCAGAAAACACAGATTATGATGACTTTGACCTTCAGTGGAGCCCCAGGGACCATCTGTCTGTGTTCAACCCCTACCACAGTCCCACATCCGCCAACCGGATCCTGAAAGGGATGCACCCCGGACGCCAGTACAACATCAGCCTCCGCACGGTCAGCGGTGCTGGAACCAACAACCCC